ATCATCGCCAGCACAAGCATTTTGTGTAATCACTAAGCGCTTAATGTTCATCAAGGGTATTTTTTTTGCACACATCAAGGTAAACCTTGGCCTTGTAGAGCTGATTTTATGAATCTTTTATGATAAAAAACACCAGCTACCAACTGCAGATCGGCTCTCAGTACCTCTTTCAACCTTAGTGCACACATCAAGGTAAACCTTGGCCTTGTAGAGCTGATTTTATGAATCTTTTATGATAAAAAAAATAGAGTTCACCAGCTACCAACTGCAGATCGGCTCTCAGTACCTCTTTCAACCTTAGTTTCTTTCCCTGAAACCAATGCGTGTTCAACACAACACAAAGTATCGATGATCGATCTGTTAGAATTATTTATTTACAAAAGAGATGTGGCAGGGCAACTTCTTTTTTCCCCACCCAAAAACTCAAACTGTGCATAAAAATTTGATACCAAAAAACCATAAAAAAGAAAAGAAAAGAAAGATAATATAGCCGAAAGATACTTGTAGTTTTCAAGGCGCAAAATTTAACAAGAACATAGTCAACAAATAAAGGAACGGATACCAAAAAATCTTGGCAAAATCGCAATGGGGAGAAAAATTAGTACCTCCAGGCTGTATCACGCCATTAGAAGGCGGGAACGCCAAACCTAAATCAGATAAAAATATTTTACGTTATTAACAAGAATCAAAGCTTGCAAAACCTAACCCGAAACGCAGAAAAGATCAAAATAAATTCATCATGATGAAGAATCCTAAAAGTACGTATCCAAGATAAATAGAGCAAGCATCCGAAAAATAGTAAGAAATCAAACGTTAAAGGATTCACGATAAAGAAAACAAAAGTGGAAGCAGCATATCCGTGAAAGATCAGTACCAGGAAATCCTTGTGAGCTGGAGGCCATCGACAGATGAGTTTGGGAGAGATCCGTTTAGAAAGAGTTCTTCTTCTTCTTAGCGCTCGGCTGGATTATTATAGGTTACCTTTTTAAAAATTTTTAAATAAAAAATTGTGTCTCTGATCTATAATATTATAATTTGTTGCTATGATACGGTTGATTAAGAAAGTTTCCTCATATTCAAGACTTAAGTTATATTTCTCATGTCATTATTGTTAAATTACATTGTTAATGGCCTTTAAAAAACTATATTAGTATTTTGAATATTGAGGTTTATAATTTATATATATATATATATATATTAGTGACAAGATAACAAGATGACATTGATTAGTACCTAGGTAAAGTTTACTAATACTATGTTGTCCAAATTACTAATTAGAATCGGTTCTATAAATAATTTTTTATGGTTTCTTTTTATGAGAGTTTCACAATTCTATTTTTATGAGAGTTAAAGAGTTTCAATAGTTATTTGAAAATATTTCTGAAGATTATTGCAATAGCCCTTTGGCTAACGGTCATGAGTGGGTCAATTATAGAAGAAAAAATTTTCAAGCAAAGAAAGGTATTTTGTTGGAGCAATTACAAGATAAGTATCAAAATTTTCAATTTTCAAATTTTTTCAAGAATATCAGTTCATTCTCATGTTCATTCAAAAAAAAAAAAATTATCCTCGGATTTTATAATAGTTGCATCAAGGATACTTGGAGTACTCTGTTGGTCATCTCCAGTTTTTGGAGTTTGATGCATTGATAATCATCTAAGGTGTGAATTTGTACCTCTCATTTTTAGCATGAAATTTATATGGTATAGGAAATTGCGACCACGCTCCGATCCTGAAACCCAACACTGACTCTAGCCATAGTTGTTCTGGTGCTTCCACAAAATCAATCAACAATCATGAATTTTATGACAATGAGCAATATCCTTGATTGATGCCACCGATTGGGGTTGGTTATTACTCATTGCCTCCCTTTTCAACTTATTATGAAAGAGATTAAACCCAAATATAATGCAGCCTCTGTTCTTTCACAACTTTATTTTAACCATGATTAACCCCAAAAAAAAAAAGTTTTATCTATATCGAGCAAGCGATGAAAAATGACTTAAAAATAACTAATTACTTTGGGAGTTGAAAACTAACAAAGATTAAAATCTTGTTTATTTTACCGATTTGAGTTTTTAATTCTTGATTTCTACAGTTAAAAGTTTTCAAAAAATGTCACATTTAACTTTTTATACTACAGTTAAAAACTTAAAAAAAAAACATCACATCTCAACTCAAATTGAAAATTTAAATCCGCAAAACGAATGAGGCCTAAAGAAATGATAAATTCTTGCCAGCCAAGACCCAACTTGCATATGATTTTCTCCACCTATGGTGGTTTTATTAGCCACTAGACTTGCTAGTTTCCATTTTGAAAGGCACAGGATGCCGAAAATTGGAAAAATGCAAATAGGATAGGGGATCACGGGCCAATAGCCTGGAAACAAGAATTAGTAGCGTGATTGAAAGAGAGATTCGCATTCTAAAAAAGCAAAAAAGAAAAAATTTGTGGTAAATAGTTGATTTTTAAAAATAAATTAAATAAAAAGTAGATTTTAAAACTATTTAAAATAAGTATCCATTTACGTATAAATGATTCATTTATGATCAGAAAAAATGACTTAGATGGTAAAAAAAAACTTAAAAAAATCTTCATTTACTTAGAAAAAATCTTTTTATCAATCATAAAAAAATGTGAAAATATATATTTTTACTAGTCATAAATGAACTATTTTCAGAGTAATCGTACATGTTTATTATGTAAACTGCTATTTATTTTAAATAATTTTAAAATTTTATTATTTACTTGATTTAGTTTCACAAATGTACTATTTACTAACATTCTCCCGCGATTCAGTCTAGCTCTACGATGAATAGGGGCCAGTCTAGTACCGGTAATATGGGTCACAATACGACAACACGACTCGAAAAATACACGAATTTCACGAGTTAGGGTTGAGAAAAAAGAAGGCCGGGTTAGAATTAGGTCGACCTGAAATTGACACGAAAAACACGGGTCAATTTGGGGTTGGACCCGCCTAACTCAAAACACGGCACGAAACTCGTAAAAAAACAAAGAAATATATTTTTTTCATTACATATTTTAGATTTTATTATGAACTTGTGATATCATGATAGTTATACTCAAAAGCTAATAATATTATTTGTTTAATTTTGATGGATGTTATTGTATTTTAATGTGTTATGAATTTTAAGTTATTTCTAATATGTAAAAAACTAAAGAAAAATATATAATTTTCGTGTCAATTTTGTGTCACGGGTCATTTTTATGTCGTACCGCGTCAATCCGTAAAGTAATCGTGTCGTGTTCATATTACGGTTTTTAAAAAATTTCATATCACAAATCATGGTCAAATTAATTGTAAATTTTTTTAAAAAATGACTAAAATACGACACATGATACGAATTACTACTTCTAATCCTATCCATAACCGTAGCTGCAATGGTACGCAAGTCCACTGACTTGATTAAAATGCTCCATTGACTTTGAGAATGGTATTGACAAGAGTGTACCATAAAAAAGTTTAGAATCTTTTTTTTTAATGTAAATAAAAGATACACAACTCTTTCTTCCTTTACTGTTACAATTAATTTTATAAGGAAAAAAAGAATATTCTAATGAAATCCAATAAATGAAACATAAAAGATTGGATGAGTTGATTGTGATAAACAATGGGTTAGTGTGGGTGGCGACCAGTATTCCAAAAAACAAAATGCCATATGACATTTGTTACGCTGAATTTGGTCAAACTCGTATGGCACGTCATAATACCATCGCATCAACATTACCCCTTCGGCTTTCTCAAACTACTGGGAAGTATTTTTGGACTTATTTGGTTCAATAATTTAAATAGTAAAAAATTAAATATTTTTAATTAAAATAATAAAATTTAAACTGTAATAATTTAATTTGTGATCTAAATTATTGTTTAAATATTTAAATAAATTATAATTTAAATTAAAAATAAAATTTAAACTGTGTTTATATAAAGTATTAAAAACTGTCATTAAAGTTTTATAATAAATTTTATAAAATTTCATTATAAATGACTTTAAAAAATATGTAATATGTGAGAATTTATTCATCTTTTTATTATGAACACATTAAAAAAATAATATAAATCAGAATTAAAATAAAAAATTATACTATTTTTAATATTAAAATTAAAGAGAGAAAAAAAGTAAAATTTAAAATTATTGGACTGTTGACAACAATTCATATTATTAGAATTTAAAAAATGTGAATTCTAAAACCGGTTTGAATTATCTTGAATCATTGTTAATAGTTTAAATTGTTCTTGAATTATCCTCTCTCAAATACTAATTTAAATCTTAAACTAAAATTTAAATCCTAAACAATAATTTTAATTTGAGTCGTCAAAACAAGTGTGCTTTTTGAGAGAGTAGGTAAACATTTAGTTCATTGATTTGGAATTATAATTTAAAATAATTCTTAATTTATGTGTATTTTTTTTTTAAAAATACTATAACGAATTACGAACTATGAAACGAATCTTTATGCAACATTTCAACGTTCTCAAGAACAAAAAAAAACAAATTCTCTTACAACACCACAACCATTTAACGAGCGTGCATCACACTAACGATAGTCTATCCATCCATCACCGTTGAATCCAGCATATTACCAAACCATCCAGCAATTGGCGTGTGTAATTTAGCAAGATCGTCAAAATAAGTGTGCTTTTTGAGAGAGTAGGTAGATATTTAGTTCATTGATTTGGAATTATAATTTAAAATAATTCTTAATTTATGTGTATTTTTTTTAAAAAAATACTATAACGAATTACGAAGAAACGAATCTTTATGCAACATTTCAACGTTCTCAAGAACAAAAAAAAACAAATTCTCTTACAACACCACAACCATTTAACGAGCGTGCATCACACTAACGATAGTCTATCCATCCATCACCGTTGAATCCAGCATATTACCAAACCATCCAGCAATTGGCGTGTGTAATTTAGCAAGAGTGGACACTGCCCATTTGGCGCATCCTAGTCGTTCATGCGCATAATAAGAAAAGGGCAAAAAAAGAAAAAAAAAACTTGAAATTAGAAGTCTTTTTCTTTTATTTTTTTCCCCTGCTCCGTCTTCGTCATACTTACCTTACCTGCTGTGTGCACTTCCCTCTTCTGGGTCTTCGCAAAAAAGAAAAGAAAGAATTTTCGTCCCAAGTCCCCAAACTTGTGCAAAATAACCAGAAAAAAGCTTTCAATTTCCATTCACCCAAAAACCTAATACCTTCCTCTCATGGCGGCGCCGGCGACGACAATGCACGCGAAGTCGGACTCGGAGGTGACGAGCTTCGACCAGTCGACACCGCCTCGGTCGCCGCGCCGGCCGCTCTACTACGTCCAGAGCCCGTCGAATCACGACGTCGAGAAGATGTCGTACGGCTCGAGCCCCTTGGGGTCGCCGCACCACCACTACTACCACTGCTCGCCGATCCACCACTCGCGCGAGTCCTCCACGTCGCGGTTCTCGGCGTCGCTCAAGAACACCCGCAACCTCTCCGCCTGGAAGAAGATTCAGCGCGGCGAGGAGTCCGATCACGAAGACGACGACGACGACGACAGAAACGACTACGGCCCCGGACGCAACGTCAGGCTCTGCTTTTGCTTTGCGCTCTTTTTCGTCGTTTTGTTCACTCTCTTCTCGTTGATTCTTTGGGGTGCTAGCAAGTCTTACAAGCCTCAAGTTGTCGTTGAGGTAACAGCCTTTTTTAACTGAGTCGATTGAGTTGAGTATCATTGTTGTTTGTGGTATAAAGAATAGGAGCGTTGATTGTCATTTGTGTCTGGAGCAGCATGTTGTGTTTAGGCGCTTCAGCATTCAGGCGGGGAATGATCGAACAGGGGTGCCAACGGACATGCTGACGATGAATTCAACGGTCAGGATCTTTTACAGGAATCCAGGCACGTTTTTCGGCGTCCACGTCACCTCGACCCCACTCGAGTTTCACTACTACGAGCTCAAAGTTGCCTCCGGACAGGTATGAAAACTCGTTCCGACATTCCACCATTTTGAATACGAGAATATCTTTTTTATCCCCTGTGTTAGACCATGAACTGGCTTCACGTTCATGGGCAATATCGTAATTTCAGGCAGCCCAATTGTTTATGACTTGCTAGCAGTTATTGCATAGTTTTTGAGTGGGGTCAAATGTGGGCCGTTGTGTTTGTCCGCATTGGGAGGTCGGATGATGAGAAGAAGAAAGGAGTAGTCTCCTGTCATGTCTTTTATTTAAGAGCTGTCCGAAAACTGAAAAAGCCTGTCCTTCCCCTGACAAACGCATGATCTTAAGCCGCTGCTTATTGGGAACCGTGAAAGAACAGTCTCACCAATTCCCAGTTTTTCATTGGTCCCAAGGCCTCGTTTTATTTATAGATATTGATCCAATGGTCTCAAAATTTTTAACTTATTTTTTTTTTCTAACCTTTCAAAATGATATATTTAGATAAATTTTATAAATTTTAAACTTGTGTTAAGATGTCCGAATTTTTAAAATGTGTATGTTGATATTGATCCTAAGGTCTTGTTTTATTTATGAATATTGATCGAATGGTCCCAAAATTTTAAACTTCCATTTTCCAACCTTTCAAAAGGACATATTTGGACAAATTTTATAAAATTTAAACTTGTGTTAAGATGTTCGATCTTTTAAAATGTATATGTTGATATTGATTCTAAGGCCTTGTTTTATTTATGGATATTGATTGAATGGTCTCAAAGTTTTTAACTTCCATTCTTCCAACCTTTCAAAAGCATATATTTAGACAAATTTTATAAATTTCAAACTTGTATTAAGATGTCTGAACTTTTAAAATGTGTATGTTGATATTGATCCCAAGGCCTTGTTTTATTTATGGATATTGATTGAATGGTCTCAAAGTTTTTAACTTCCATTCTTTCAACCTTTCAAAAGGATATATTTGGACAAATTTTATAAATTTCAAACTTGTGTTAAGATGTCTTGAACTTTTAAAATGTGTATGTTGATATTGATCCCAAGGCCTTGTTTTATTTATGGATATTGATCGAATGGTCCAAAAAATTTTAACTTCCATTTTCCAACCTTTCAAAAGGACATATTCGGACACATTTTATAAATTTCAAACTTATGTTAAGATGTCCGAACTTTTAAAATGTGTATGTTGATATTGATCCCAAGGCCTTGTTTTATTTATGGATATTGGTTGAATGGTCTCAAAGTTTTTAACTTCCATTCTTCCAACCTTTCAAAAGGATATATTTGGACAAATTTTATAAATTTCAAACTTGTGTTAAGATGTCCGAACTTTTAAAATGTTTATGTTGATATTGATCCCAAGGCCTTGTTTTATTTATGGATATTGATCGAATGGTCTCAAAAATTTTTAACTTCTATTTTCCAACCTTTCAAAAGGACATATTTGGACAAATTTTATAAATTTCAAACTTGTGTTAAGATGTCCGAACTTTTAAAATGTGTATGTTGATATTGATCCTAAAGCCTTGTTTTATTTATAGATATTGATTGAATGGTCTCAAAGTTTTTAACTTCCATTCTTCCAACCTTTTAAAAGGATATATTAGGACAAATTTTATAAATTTTAAACTTGTGTTAAGATATCCGAACTTTTAAAATGTGTATGTTGATATTGATCCCAAGGCCTTGTTTTATTTATGGATTTTGATCGAATGGTCTCAAAGTTTTTAAGTTCCATTCTTCCAACCTTTCAAAAGGACATATTTGGACAAATTTAAAACTTGTGTTAACATGTCTTGAACTTTTAAAATTTGTATGTTGTGCTTCTTGAACTTTATTATTTATGTTAACGTGTTTATTGAACTTAATCGATTCAAGTATAGAATTTAAGTTTTGCTACAGTAAAAAACTTTCAGAAGCAATCACATTTAACATTTTTGCTATAATAAAAAGTTCTCAAATAAAGTCACATCTCAACTCGAATTAAAAACTCGAATCAGCAAACTAAATGGGCTTTTAATTCGTTAAATTCTTTAACGGAAATGCTTATAGATGCCTATGAACTTTGTCACTTCTGTGGATGGTATCCACAATTTTACTAAAAAAAATTGGAGGTGAAGGGAAGCTGATGATGAGATCCACAAGAAATCAGAGCAATGAGGAAAGAGAAAGAAATGCAGAAGTGGGGCCCACAAGATAATGGGACCTGTTCATTTCATCGATTCAAGTTTAAAATTAGGGTTTTACTACAGTAAAAATCTCTCAGAAACAGTTATAGTTAATTTTTTGCTATAGTAAAAAGCTCTCACATAAAGTCACATCTCGACTCGAATTAAAAATTCAAATCAGCAAACTAAACGGGCCTTTAATATACACTCACTGTCATTCCTTGTGCGTATAATCTGCTTGCTAGCAACTTTAATGTACACTCACTGTCATCCCCTGCCTACCGAATTAGTAAACTAAACAGGCCTTTAATGTACGCTCACTATCATTCCTTTTACGTATAATCTGCGTGCTAGCAACTTTAATGTACACTCACTGTCATCCCTTGCCCTCCGTTTAATTTAGATTGGGCGGTCTTTTAAAATTAGGCCTATAAGTATTCCGAATATGTAAGGTGCACCAGAAAAACTCCTTATGCATATATATTATTTTTAAATCTAAATGCGTTCATGTCATTTATTTTTTTACTTTTAAAAAAAAAATGAATACAAACCTGAAGAAACTCATTAACTTAAACAAATTTTAATGGTCAAATATCATAAATAAATAGTAATTTAATGGTCATATTAACATTTTCGTTCAAAAAATTGATATCATCAAGATAGAGGGAGAAAAGTTAGAGACATATCATAATTCGGGGGTAAAACAGTTACATTTTAAAGTTCAGATGGCATATTGACACAAGTGACAAAGTTTAGGGGGTGTTTATAATAAGCATTTCCGTTAAAAAACCCTTATGCATATATATTATTTTTAAATCTAAATGCGTTCATGTCATTTATTTTTTTACTTTTAAAAAAAAATGAATACAAACCTGAAGAAACTCATTAACTTAAACAAATTTTAATGGTCAAATATCATAAATAAATAGCAATTTAATGGTCATATCAACATTTTCGTTCAAAAAATTGATATCAGCAAGATAGAGGGAGAAAAGTTAGAGACATATCATAATTCGGGGGTAAAACAGTTACATTTTAAAGTTCAGATGGCATATTAACATAAGTGACAAAGTTTAGGGGGTGTTTATAATAAGCATTTCCGTTAAAAAACTTAACAAAATTAACTTCAAGAGGTATGTTGACACAAGTGATAAAGTTCAGGAGCACAACATGCACATTTTAAAATTGAGGGGGTATGTTGACACAAGTAATAAAGTTTAGAAAGAATTTATAAAATTTCTCTTTTTTTTTTTTTTTTTTTTTTTTTTTTTTTTTTTTTTTTTTTTTTGTAATGGTTCAAAGTGTGGACGGTTTTGATTTTTTATTCTTTTAGCTGAAACCCATTTTGAACATAAAGAAAGCTGGTTAATCACAAAAGTATGACTTTCTTAGCGAAAAAAATCACATACATAAAGAAAGCTGGTTAATCACATAAGTATGTCTTTCTAAGCCAAAAAAATCACATAAATACGGGTTCTAATTTTGAGCATTTTGTCAATTATCTATATTTACTTCTAGAAACTGAAAATGTATCGTTTAAATTAAAAAAGCTTAGCGTAATTCATGTGTTTGGAAGAGAAGTTGATATACGGAAGCAAAGCCTTTTAAGGAGAAGTTACAAGTGCCACCTTTCGGGCAAACACTCTACTTGAAAAAATGTTTCAGTAACACTATGACACATTGGATGATAAGCATCCTAATTTTTGTCATTGGATGATTGATAAAAACAAATGATCTAAGTTGTGGAAAAAAAACACGGCAGCAATTTGATAAAAGCTGAATTATTTTAACTGATAACAGTTTTAACCTTAAAAAAAGAGAGGAATGTACTTTACTTTAGTCAAAACATTAATCTAATTCTATTTTAGAGCTTCCGAGTTATCTGAAGTATTCATTTATTTAGTGGGAAAAAAGGGACTACTGAAACTGGAGTGTATTCAGAGTATTGTTCTTTTTTATCTTTTGTGCATGTGCTTGTGTCGTGTTGACGTGTTGTTGGGCAAATTTATCAGAAAATGTCAAACGGGACCAACGTAAATGCGGGGAAACCTACCCATTTAGTAGTAGTTTTGCAGAAGATGTATTATACATTTTTCTTAGGTTGGAAAAGAACTTGCTTATTCGCTCTTAGGAATACAATGTCCACCATCGCCCTTTTTCTGCTTAGTAGGGCCAACCTTTTGCCCTTTGCCTTTTGGAAGTAGTGTTTGGACCAGATTTTCCATGGGCAATGTGGTATTTTAGCTAGTTTACCTTGGCTAAGTTGGTTCCCAAAAGGGCTCCTTTTTTTTTTTTTTTTTTTTTTAAATCAAGGATGAAAAAATGGCCGAAATTTCAGAGTACTGAATTACGTTTAGGATAAAAAAATCTGAAATAGTATTAAAAATATCGAGAAATACCTCAGTATTTAGATTAGATGAATCTATTGATATTTGATAAAGTTAAGCGTATCTTTTTTCTAATATTTTGGAAAGTATATGTGAAATATTGCTAAAAATTAATACTCAAAGGTTTTCTTAAATAATAAAGAAAAGTATGTATCTATGTATGTATGTATTAAAACTCAAAGGTTTTCCGTTATGTTTTGACATATTCTATCCATATGGATATTTTTCTTGATATTCACTTAAATATATGATATTCACTTAAATATAGATTGCTACTATTCCAATCCATGTGGATAAATTATTCGTGGTGTAAAAATGAAGGGAAAAGTTTTGATACTAAAGTAAGCATGATATGTCTAACTTTGGACTTTTAGTTGGTACATTATGGATTGGATTTGCGCCTTTTGCCAAAGTTTTAGGTACTTCGTCCCTGCATCTACATCCGCTAGTTGGTAAATAACTGCTTTATATATTTATTGAATGTACATTAAATTTAGTACTTCTATCTTGCTTTATAATCAACTCTTTTTTTGCCTGAGAAAATTACAACAGATGAAGAAGTTTTATCAACAGCGGAAGAGTCACCGGACGACAGTGACCACAGTGCTAGGGTCCCAAGTGCCTCTTTATGGTGGGCTCTCAGTTATTGGAGGTGCTAGAGATAATATTGATAACATGGTTGTGCCACTGAACCTGACATTTGTGGTGAGATCCAGGGCCTATATTCTCGGAAAATTGGTTAAGTCTAAGTTTTATAGAAGAGTCAGATGCCCTGTCACCCTTAAGGGCAACAAACTGGGCAATCCCTTTAAAATGGTGGATTCATGTATCTATCACTGAATTATTACTCTTTTTTTTTCAAAAAAAAAAAAAAAAAGTTTCTTAGTCGTTTTATATTTTGCAGACTGCATCTTTAGCCTTTGACTAATTTTTTTGCTGTCCATTCACCTCCAAATTTGTTGTGTCTATTTGTAGAGGTTTCAAAAGTACGGCTATAGCCTCATGGATACAAACATTTTGTAACACTTTGAAAACTGTAATTATATCGTGATCTAGTTGTATTTCCATGTTTTGTTCCTTAGAATTTGTTCTTGAGTGAAAATTTTTTGTGTTTTGTTAATTATGAAATGTCTTTTGTGAGTGTCTTTATGTGGTAATATCTATATATTGTATTGCTTTGATACTTGGCTTCTATTAGGATTGTGTTATGTATCTTTCTTAAGTTTTAACATCAGATGTTGTCTTAAAAAGTGCTCTTTGGTTGGTTAAGCAGGTTAAACTTACTAGTAAAATCTAGTTTCAGGACAATAGAAAATGGCTTTATAAAGCCCTTAGAACAAACTACTTTTCTTACGACATTGCAGCAGCTATAAAAACAAACTAACTAGCGTAGACACAGAATACAAGCACATGAACTTATTCACTAGAACACAGAACCATAAACACAAAACAAGCAAATTAACAGCTTAATCAATCTTCTAACAGTTGTTCGAAGTTTGTATTCTAGTTGTCCTTTGGCTTCTCGTCGTCCTTGTGCCCCCCAGGCAGCTTCTCCTTAATCTTCTCAAGAATTCCCTTTTCCTTTGACTCGCCTTCGGTGGACTTTCCATAAGCAGTGCACTCCGCAGGATGAGCGCCATGATCTTCTGCCTTCTTGTGCTGCCCGGGAAGCTTTTCCTTAATCTTTTCCATAAATCCCTTCTCCTCTGGATGAGTCGCTTCTGCTTTCGTACACGCACTGGCATTATGTTTCTTCTCGTGCTCAGTATCTTGATCTCCTTCCTTTTTCCCTGATATCTTATCCTTGATCTTATCCTTCAACCCCTTCTTTTTCACCTCCCCATTTCCTTCTTCCTCATCACTACTAGACTGCAAGTTTTCCAAGATAAAATTGACATTTTGTCAAAAGATGATAAATATTGGCAAGTGAAATAAGTAGTGCAATGTGGCTTACCGACCTAGAATCCCCGCGAGACTTTTGAACCTCTTCCTTGTGAGCGTGGCCCTCGTTTTCTTTCTTCTTCAAGAAATCAAACATCCCGCACCCGGTGTTGGCGGTCCCACTTCCATGCTCTTTCTGGTGCTCCTCGGCCATAATGCCAACCTTAGGCAATGCTAATGCAACGCAAACAATGCTCTAAACAATATTACTTGAACTGATCAAAACATGATTTAAGGACCAAGGCATACTTTGGTATTTATAGAAGAAGCCAAGCCAAGGCTGATGATGATTCAAATCAATTAGAGAGAGAGAGAGAGAGAGAGAGAGAGAGCACGTGCGGGTCACGTGGTTAGCACTACATTATGGAATCAAAGGATGTACAATTGGGGTGGTCGGTTATTGGGAGGAGAAAACCAAGAAGGGTCGGTGGGAAAGGTGTCTCATGTCTGCACTAATCAATCAATTTTTCGAGATGAGGAGCTTTCTCACATATTAGTACGAACATCACGTGCATGACACGATCTTTAATTTTACAATCAATTTAATGAGGCACATTAAATCTTTTTAGCTTTCGCATTGATTCACGTAACTAGATTTTCTCGCTCTTATGAAGCGAAGTAAGAAAGAAACAAGGGTTTCAAATTTATGCTAATTAGCTTACTTTGTATTTTTATTAATTGAAAATATGGTTCAAATCTAATGGCAAAACCGGATTTAGGGAATGCAGCACTGTGCTAAGCTTGTTGGGAGACAAAATATTTAGATAAATGGGCTTTTAGATTCGACGTTTGATAGTGGAAATAATTATTATTTTATAATATATTTGATTAGCTAATATTATTAGCGAAAGTACTAAAAAACCCGCGAAATAATCAAAGCGTGTGCTTGTTTTCGCCCCAAGTAAATCCGTTTCTTTATCATCCAAAATATATATCAGAGTAAACTTTGGTCTATCTTATAGATCGTTGTAACAATACACATAATCTTGCCGTATAAATTAAAGTCATATCTGTTAATTTTGGAAGTAAATGTGTCTTAAGGATTGAAAAAATTGGCATTTAGGCCTTTGTCCGCCAAGTTCCATATTGCTGAAACAACTAGCAAGACGCACAAAATAAGGCCCAAGCAACCAAGCCCAATATTGACAAACCACATTGCACCATTTTGGCGAGGTTTCTTGATTGATATCCACATGAAACATGGATAGGCATATGTCAAGGGCATTGTGAGGCCTCCAATTAGTGGCGCCAAGCTTCCCAAGAATGGAAAAGCCACTGATATAAGGTAAACCAGACCTCCAAACAAGAGACGGATTGCTGTGCGAACCCACCTTGCGCATCTCTTCTTTCTAATGCTTGTGTATCTCAACTCCAAATTGTCGAAAACTATCATGGCATATATTTGGAATGTACTTATGCCGTTTATTATTATTAGGAGGTAGATTAGGCCCATCACAAATTTGGAGATGTCTTGTCTGTGAAATTCCGATAGTGCCCTCAGCATTCCTCCGTCCGCCGGGATCTGCCATTTATTAAAACACATCACTTGCTCGTCGTAATATAAAAATGAACCATGTTTAGGGCGCCAATAGTATCCGAAACTATGTGGATCCCACAACATGGGTTTTATAGATGAAGTTCATTCTCCATTAATTTGTGTAGTTTTACAATATTGGGGCTCCGAAGCATTTATCTAGAAAAATTCATCCATGAAAGTTCAAAAGAAGTGTACTGACCTTGTTTCCATAAGCCCAAAATCCGGCTATGGCAAGGGGAAACAAACACATGGCTATTTGTAGGTATGATACAATGACCCCTGCCCACATTGTCTTATGCGATGAGTGTTTTGGACTTGAAGGCAATGTTGCCTGCATTAATTGATGCATCGATCTTTAGCATTCTTTGCCAAATAACCAAAATAAGTAGTTTCAACAAATGACAATAATAATAAACACATGGATCACTAATATCTATGGATGCATTAGAAAAAAGATGAATAAGTTCATACTTGAATCTCAAGGATGACGTTATGGCCTTTAAAAGAAAGAAGAATGATTCCAACGGCATTGAAAATAGAACCAAATTTGTCCATGCCAGACTCCTTTGTTTGGAGGGGTTGGTAAGATATATTGTTGGGCCTATCTTTGCTTATGGGAAGGGCCCAAAGGATCGAAGTATAGCTAAGGGCTGTGATGGCTCCAATGAGTGAGACCCTAGTAATGGAATTCAAATTGGGAAGCTGAGCCACCAGAATGGCAATGCAAGTGAACACCAAGAACCACTGCGCCCCGCTCACTGCCTTGCCGTCGCATATGGCATCCGCCCCATCACCGCACAAGTTTCGGTAGAAAAGTTGCATTGCTCCGCCTCCATTGATTATTAGCATTGCACATGTTCCTCCTGAGAGATACATCACCGGGAATATGGCTAGTAACTTCCCTAGCTTTTCACCTGCAAAATAGTATTACAATTAAGTGGGTGTATAATTATAAATTACATGTTATTTAAGTTGGGATACATATTAACTTTCTCAAGTAGGTGGGCCGTGACTAAAATTTAAACTATCAAAAATTCAAAAGGCCCACTAAAATTTAAACTATCAAAAATTCAAAATCTATGTACCCTCAGTTAAGGGTGGCAATTAGTGTTAGTGAGTCGTGTTCGCGTCAATTTGTTTATTAATCATGTCAAAAAATATCGATCTAAACACAATCGGTTTATTAAACGTGTGAAAAATGTCAACCCAAACACGACTCATTTATTAATCGTACTAAGCGTGTCAATCCGTATAACCTGTTTAAATTAATATATTAAATGAATATTTAATATAATAATGATTTATTTAATACGGTCAAGACAGATTTAATATATTTATTGGTCAATTTATATTTTCTTTTAAGAAAAAAAATGAATTTTACCTACAAATATTAAAATTCACATTATTTGTATTTAATATGACATATAAACTTTCAAGTTATATAATATATCATTAAATTACAGATGAAACATATAGTTAATCATGTCAATTCGTGTTAAGAGGTCAGGCCTAACCCAACTCATTTATTAATCGTGTTAATTATGTCAATCCGATTATAATTCAAACTCATTTATAATAAACTTATACCCATTAATTTCATACCAATTTTAAATCATCGCTGTATCACTATTTAGATCGCCGGCCATACCCTCAGTGATCATCACGACGAAACAAACGTATAGTTAAAAACGTAATAAGTGGGGTTAGTTGACTCTAGGATCTATATCGTTGACTGTTTGTTACGTTGTCTATTTTAGGCCTTGTTCGGCAGAGTGGTTTTTGAGTGAAAAACTCAAAAAAATGTAACTCGAGTTATAACTTTATTTGAGTTCATGTTCTTTTAAGTTTGAATTTGAGTTTGAACTCGAGTTTGGAACTAAAACTCGAGTTCAAGTTTCCCCTTCAACTCGAGTTCAAAAACTCGAACTCAAGTTAATGAACAGTATTTTTTCTATTATTAAAAATGATATAACTTTTTCGTTTTAATTCTGATTGAGATGATTTTTTTTTTCTATGCGTTAACAATGAAAAGACGAATAAAACTAGACCCATATACCCCATTAAAATTTTTTATTAGCATTGAGTTTTTATTAAAATACTATCTAAATATAAATTCAAGTTTTAACTTACTCAAACACAAACTCAAAAAAGATTATTATCTCAAACCATAACTCAAATGTACATAACCAAACACAAACTCAAATTACAACTTTAATTCAAGTTATAACTCAAACTCAACTCAAAATTTACACTCAAATTACCTAACTCAAAAACATCAAAAGAACAAGCCCTTAGTTTTGTATTTTTTTTTTGTTTTATTTTGGTGTTTGCTTTAGCTTCACTTTTGTCATTGTTTTGCCCCCAGATAAATTGCGTCTATGGTAAAGTCGCTGAGGATTCATTCCCATGTTCATTTTTTCGTTTTCTTCCCTATGTTTTCACGTCGATTAAAAATTTATTAATAAAAATAATTTAATTGATAAGACAATCATAATAAAAAAGGACATAAAAAATAGGAGATAAGAGCTTATGTTAAGCACTTTATTATGTCATGTCAAAACAAATACATTTTCATGTAAAGGACTCTAATCGCTAAGATTATTTTAACCTCGAGGATTCACTTATCCCATTTTGTCTCCCAACATCTATTTTTTCAAAGTTTTGATATTGCAATTTTTTTTTTTTTTGAAACATACAGTTCTAACCCCAATATTAATAGACTGTTTATTTTCAATGGAATCTATTACACGTGAAGATTTTAAGGGAGACAAAGTGATAAAAATAACGCATGAAAAGATCAAAAAGAAAAAATCAATATATGGAATAAAAAAAAAATAGATTGTGCTTGATTAGTATATGATTTTCTTTTTTTTATTTTCAAATCTACCCCTTTGGTTTTTAATTTTTTTTATGGGCTTTGGGTTTTTTTAATAGCCCATAAAAATATATATATTTTGGTATATGGTTCTTTATGGGTTTAAATTTGATTTTGCTGCCTTTTTTTTCTCTCATAAAAATTTAAAATTTAAAATTTAAAAGTCATAATAAAAATCACTTTCCTAATTTGAACTTATATACTATATAAGCCCCAAAAATCTCTATTACAATCTCCATCTATCATTTGCATACTACATTTTGTTTGAAAAAAGGACAATTTATTAACAGAGGGATAAAAAATGTATATTTTTTGAAACATTAAGGTACTTAAGTTAAAAGTAAATATCATCGGTCATCGGTGAATGTGAAACAAAAGAATATCCTCAAGTGTCATCAGTGAAACATTGAAAAAATCCTATGTGTTATGGTTAGGGCGAGGTACGAACCGAAGGCAGTAACACTGAGGTGGACATATCTACTATAACGAACCCCAGAATCAGCAGATTCGTGAAGATTGACGAGAAGCCATATGGTGTAGAGCTGCCACAGAAAAGCCAGCGACAAGCATATGATTCCCCATGCCCTACAACCATTACAAAACAAAGTATTTAAAAAAAAAAAACAAAAACAAAAAAAAAATCTCCTCTGTTTCCTCGCAAGAAAAAAAATAAAACCATATAAATTGAAAGGCAAAAAAAAAAAAAAAAAAAAAGAAAAAGATAGTTATGTGACTTGTGCAACGGACCACACATACATTTCAAGATTGTGATAGGTCAGAAATGTATCGCACAATTTAGTGGCGGAGCCAACCTTTAGACTTAGTAGAGGCGTATATTAATTTTTCTTTCTTCGGAAATAATTAATAAGAAACAAAAATAATTAATTTTAAATTGGCCTTCGAAAGTAACAGTTCTCTTACTTTAGCCCTATAACACAAAATAACACAAAACTTTCTCTAAACTTCTAATAAATTACAACTTTAATACTTACGACATTAAGGCATCAATATTTTAATGGTTTGAGTCATTTGTGGCGCACTTAAGTTTTTGGTGTTACCTACTCATTATTCTCTAACTAAATTAAACATAATTTTTTTTCTCAATCCAACGTGGGTGTCACCTACTTATTGTAATTACCCTACTGTATTGCCTTTTATGAATTTAATATGTGACATGTATGTGATTAAAATCGTTAAAAATTTTGATATCTAATTGACGAAAGTATCTACAGTATAAATTATAATAAACTTTGAAAAAAAAAGCATATTTTGCTATTTTGAGTTGCAAGGAAAAAAAAAAAAGATAACCTCTATGATTAGTGGGATAAAATTAGTTTAAATAGAAAGTAGTGACACGGTATTTTTCAAAAACTACCCAATACATGTGTAGAAAAGAAGATCATAAAATATATTTTAATAGATGACAACGAATTTTTATGTATTGAAAATGTCCTATAATATATTTATTTTAGAGGGGGCTAATTTGATTTTTTTTTTTTTTGAGTGGGGGTGAAATGGAAGGAACAAAATTTTTAGAGTTAAAAATTAATACAAACGAAAAATGCCGCCCCCACTCGTCCATGAATGCCTCCGTCACTGTTTGACATGGACTGCTGATGGGGATCAGTCGGCTTTATTTTTTTTGAAAAGAGTCGGCTAAATTTTCTGGTTTACGATTAATACAGTTGATGGAACGATATGCATAATCCCGGGAATATTCAGCTGATCGAAACAGCTTGGACTGAATGTATATTTTAGTAGTCTAGTAACATCGAATTTTTGAACTCATTTTACAAGTTTGAACTCAATTGTTTTATTTCACCAAAAAATATAATAAACTCGATTTATTTCAATTGTGACCTACTATACATATATATTGCATATACATATATTATGTTGGGAATCATAACTTATATTATGTTTATGTTAGCAGTGCTCGTGATGCACATGATTATCTTCTAAAAAGGAGAAAAACAAAGAAGAGAAAAATATTGGTACTAATTTCTTTTCAGCAAAAAGAAAAAAAAAAGGAGAAAAAAATAAAGAAAAATAATGGTACGTTTTTCTTGACTTGGAAAATTTTGGTAGCTGACGTTTTCGTCAATTTGGCAGGATTGGTAACTTTTGTCTTGCTGGAAAGAAATTGATGGAACGTTTAGAAGGAAGATTCGGAACCTAGTTAGAATTATGATTCGTGATTCGTTACAGTATTTTTTCTCACAAAAAATACACGTAAAATGAGAATAATTATAAATCATGGTTCTGAATCCATGAACCAAACGTCATTTGATTCTCATTTCATGCACTGGCGGAGGCATTCATGGACGAGTAGGGGCTGCCGCCCCGACTGATTTTTTGTTTGTATTAATTTTTAACTCTAAAAATTTTGTTCCTTCCATTTTACCCCCACTCAAAAAAAGAAATATTAAATTAGCTCTCTCTAAAATAAATATATTATATGACATTTTCAATACATAAATATTCGTTGTCATCTATTAAAATATACTTTATGATCTTCTTTTATACACATGTATTAGGTAATTTTTGAAAAAACCGTGTTACTACTTTCTATTTAAACTAATTTTATCTCACGAATCATAGAGGTTATCTTATTTTTTTTTTACCTTGCAACTCAAAATAGCAAAAAACGCTTTTTTATAAACCGACGAAATAAAAGAGTCAGTACTAAACATACCATCCAAGTGTTGCGAATGCGACGGGCAATATCAGGGCCTGGTACCCAATTCCAGAGCACAACAAATGAAAAACAGCAGAGAAAACACTGCCATTCCTCGACTCTGTTATGGGAAGCCAAGAGTCCTGCGGATTCAGCTCTCCGCCGGGCCAATGCAAAGAAGACGACGGAAAACCGATCACCTGATCTCCCGTGGGACTGTCTGTGTTAATACTATGGATTCGAAAAGAATCAAAGCTTTTTGTTGAGCCGTTAAACGAAAGATCTCGAGAAAACGAATCTGCAATTACACCGCTATTGCAGTTCACTATAACAACTTCTCCCATGGCTGGCTTCACACACTCCTCAATCAAAACTTGTATAACTAATAAGTGAAATAAAAGGGGAAAAGAATAGACTTATTGTGGATTTTGGTGGGGCAATTCATCAAACATTTTGTGGGAGAATTATTCGAATTACCTTGTACCATTATGTGAGAACCATTTATATATAGAGGAAATCAGGAATATCGTTGAGCTGAGGCGTGCGTGACTTGGCTTACACATAGGGAGTGACGTCATTTGCTATGATATGTGGTGACGTAATCAGTTTTGTCGGAAGAGATTCACATCCAATTCCAAGTTTTTTTTTTTTTTTTTTTTTTTTTGGAAAATTTAGCTATCCAAATGGGACTTTAATTAGCCAAAAAAAAAAAAAAAAAAAACAGAGGAAATAAGAAAAAGAGTGGGGGAGGTTGGTTCCTAGAAGCAAATTCTACGCCTTTTGGTTCTTATCTCGAGATTGATTGAAACTTTCAATTGTGAACTTGCTCTCTCCACCGGTAACATTCATGAACCTACTTGGTAAATTGGTTAATGTAGCGGTTTAAATCAAGAAGGAAGTACGGAAATAACACTTTTAAGATGTCAATAAAAATAAGGAAAATTTTCTGGTACACATGGTTTATTGACATATTAAGTTTGTTTAATCGTGAAATTTGTGAATTTTTTATTTTTACGTTGGCAGATTTAACAGTTAGAAAATTTAATCTACTGATATGTTAGTTTACAATAAAATGTTCTTAAAATAAATAGCATAAAATTTTAAGAAGATTAAAAAAATAAAAGACTTTCTCTGGTGTTCCTTCTTCTTTAGAAATATTGGTATTCACTGCTTAATCGTTAAATCTGTGTATTTTTTATTTTTACGTGATTTTATGCAAATCTAACAGTTAGAAAACCTAATCTACCGATATGTTAGTCTACCAGAGAAATGTCCCTAAAATAAATAGCATAAAATTTTAAGAAGAATAAAAAACACAAGACTTTCTTTGGTGTTCCTTCTTCTTTAGAAATACTGGTATTCATTGCTTATCAGCCATCAAATCTGTATTAAATCTTATCAAAAGTCAAATCATAGTGAAAATAACACAAATCTAACGGGTTATAAGCATGGAACAACGGTGTTATAAAAAAAGAAAGTACTCCAAAGAAATTCTCTAAAAATAATATGGGTTAAAGAAAACATTGAGAGCAAAAAGGGAGGGTGTAAACTCTGAATGGAGAGGTTTTGTTAATTTGATAATTTGAACTAAGTCTAAAAAAATATTTGCTAAATGCTCATTTGTTTGCATTTGTTTTTTTAACCATTTGAACCTATTTACAAAATGGGCTCTCAGTACTATCTTTTTGAGAAAAGTAATGATTTGTCATAGTTTTATACATATCTATTATTTAAGTCATTTTTAATAATTAAGTACTATCATGGTCTTTATTTTTTCTTTATTATATGAATAACAGTTATTTATAATAACTTTTTATTTTTTAATAGTGTTATAAATAATATGTTTTTACTATTTTCAGTGGTATTTTTGTCACCTGAACTTTGATTATTAGGTTTGCCGTGTTAAACGCTTAAGAAGAGAACTTTTGAGTTTTCCAATTTTATATGTGACGTAGAAATGCTTTTATTTTCGAGATAGAGAATTTAGTTGGGCATTATGTTTAAGCTATCACATTGTATGAAAATCATATTAAATTTAAAAAATACATAATAATCTTGCACAAAGAATATAGAAAAGTATGTCAATCAGTAAAATTTCGTAAAGTAAAATTGTATCTTATTATTATTAATGTAAAAAAAAAAAAAAAAAAAAACTATATTGTCAGAATCACATGATGGCTAGGCATGGAATTTAAAATGGATTTAAAAGGGCTTTATTAACTTTTTAGAATGGAACTCTAAAGTCTTAAAACATTTCAAAAGTAGAGTCGCGTCTACACGCAACATGAACCAAATGAAAAAGTGAGAAAAGGTTTGAGATCGTGATGTCTGGAAAAATCATGGTGAAAAATGAACACTATTGGAAACTCCATGATAAGGCGGAGTTGAAATGTGTTGGTTGGATATCTCGATAGAGTTGTGATCCTTCTAATTTCCCAGTTTAAAAATGATGAACAGCTAAGTCATGTTTGGAATGTGCAAATAAAATTCCATATTGGCTGGCCAAGAAATTAACAATGGTTTCATTAGGTTTTCAATACTCTTTAAAAGTTAACCCAACATATACCATATTAATAGATTTCCTTCTTTTATTAATTTTTTAATAGCCTTCAGAAGACTCCAAGTAACCTACCATGCATAGAATTATGGAAGAAGATGTGAACTCTTCAAACTTTCAGGACCGCCGGCGCCGGCAATCTCAATTCTCAAGACTTTTATTTCTTTGACTTTCTTTGGGAGTGAAAATTTTCTTTGAAAATATGCTGTTTAATTAGTTTCTTCTCCTTTGACGACCTTAATCACTCGCATTTTATGCATAGTTGACTCATCACGTAGTAAGGACAACAATTTTTCAGAAACGTTTTTTTTTTTTTCCTATTCAAACAGAAACGTGTATTTTGTTTATAAACAAATGCTATATATGCACTTACATTTAACTCAGTTTAGTCTTTAATTACAGCTGTTCATTAGTGTCAGCTACATTAAAATATATTCACTAGGGGACCCATCGCAACGAATTTCCTTTGTAGTTTATATTATATAAACAAAATTCATTTGATGGATATTGAAGGATCTCAGATTCATATTAGTATAATGAAGAGTGTGTGTTTTCATGTATATATCAACATATATTGTGCTTAGAATATCCATTCTCATGATGCACGTTTTTTTTTCAGCACTTTGAATAACAATATTATGTCGTCCCTCCATTTATAGAAAAATTATAAATTGGACTTTGGATGATATTGGGAAAATTTTATAGAGGAAGTGGTTCGAGTATATATGGATTTCTAATGTTGAGCATCACAAAATAAAAGGCCAAAATTCGACGGGACTGTTCAAAAGAAGTCTGAAGGAATGTCCTTTTATTAAAGGAGCATAATATTTATGCCTTTTTTTTAAACCACTATAAAATTTTATTCTTTTAACTCTCTTATAATATTTCAACTTACAAACGTCAAAATTTTAAAAAGTGAGTAAAGAGGAACAAGTATCAAAATTTTTTTCAATGTTTGATCTCAGAAAAGATATTATGCAAACATGCAAATTTGTATGTTGAATATCTATAGTATTTGAAAGAGCATGATCAGCAATAATGAAAGATTCACTTTGACACATTCTAGTGATTAATTAGAATAATATTACATAGTACTAAATGTAGTGTCACGTTCCAAAATTTGACAATGTAATGTCGCGTGCTCACAAAGTTCACTTTATATGCAAGCAAGGCCTAGGTAAATCTGTGTAATGTGCCTCTGACAGAAAGTAACAAGTTTATTTTGCATGAACACCCTTTCAATTTTACGAGTTAAGTAATTTAATTCATTAACTTTTTTCTTGATAATTACCCCTTAAACTTTAAAATTTATTACAATGTTAGTCAAATTGAAGATGAATTTAAAACTTTAGATGATATCTTCTACGTGAGTATTTAATAAGAGTAATTAATATCTTTTTGCATCGAATTGATCCTTATATACGAATCACGAATGAAAAGTGTTTTGAAATTGGGAGTTAACCGTTTTGGGAGAAAAATTAGGGGTCCCCCAATTTAAAAAAATTCATTCATGATGTAATTCGATGTAAAAAGATCAGAATTATCCTTATTAAACACTCACATAAAGGATATTGTTTAAATTTTTAACTTGGTTTTCAATTTGATTAATAATGCAACAAATTTCAAACTCTAAGGGGTGAATTGTCAAGAAAAAAATTAAAGGATCAATTTGCCAAACTCGTGAAGTTGATGGGGTATCCTTGCAAAAAAAAAAAAAAAAAAACCCCACTTAGAATGTGCTGAGTTTTTAACGACACTATAGACAACAGTTTTTTAAGAAACCATTTCAAATAAGATGAATCTTTTAATCCTCATTTTGCTGTAGTGGTTCATATATTGTGCCATTATAATCCTTGTGCCCTGTGGTATATATCTACACTGTGCTGTAATTAGTCTTTGTGATCCAGGTTCCATGTGCCACATTTAATCCTAGTGGTATATGGTTAATTTAATGCCACAATCAACGTGTGGTTCAAGTATAATGCAACAATGTTAGAAAAGACCTCTGTAGTTTAGGTTCAGTGCCACGTACGGTTCAGGTTCGTATGATTTTATAGTCAATTACCATACACAGTTTAGAAATACAATATAATAAAACTCGAAAACAATTTGTCTTATAGATATTAATGAATTCCTAACTCATAAGTTTCAATTAAAAAAAAAATCATTCAACATACAATTAAACCAAATAATAAGCTTGATTTAATTTTTCAATCGTAATTCCAATATCAATTCTCGTGTCAAAGTGTCCACTTTATAATATAATATTTCAAGATAACACTGTTTGACTCAAAAAAAAAAAAAAAACAACAACAACAATTTGAATTTCTTTTCTTCTTTATCTTCCTCATCACAAACTTTGTCATGATCCTTCTCACCTAAAAGCAATTGATCCTCGACAAGGTTTGCTTGATCCTCCGAGGTAGATGGCGTTTTAAAAGAGCAAAAAAATAAATGTACTTCTTACTGAACTCAATCATTTTGTCTTATTTACGGTCAATATATTATTGTGAAGGAACCAATCCTTGTTGATTACCTGCATATTAATTGAAAAAATTTCATTGCAATGATATTTAATTGTTACATGTTACTATAATAAAATGTTTGTTATATCAATTTTTAAATTTCTGTGAGATCTAAAATTAATTTCGTGTTTGCCAAGAAAAGTAAGAGAACAGCAGTACATACAACTAGAATTTTTTCAAAAGGCAGTGCCTAATTCCCACTACTATTTAAATGGTAGCCTGGACCACGGTTGAATTAATGTCTATAAAAGTTAAAAGGAATGATGAGCCTAGCTTGCTAGCTCGGTAGCTAGTCATATGTAGAGATATAATATGAAGCTTATACGATCCGTTTGGTTAAGTTTTTGTTTTTATTTTTAATCAATAAAAAAAGAGAAATA